AGCTGATTATTTCTCATTTTATAATAGCCATCAGAAGATGATGTTGGGGTTGCATCTGGAGCTGCAACAAGCTGGTGTGATCTTTGCTCAGAATAAAATGTCACTTCTCTCGACTTCCCTTCACCTGATGTGTTCTCACTCTCTAATTTGTTGATTGGATCGGATTGACACTGAAATATTTTGATAGCATCTTCAGAATGTCTATGCACACTTGTTACACCTGTCACTAATTCTATACCAAGACTGCAACTCCCAGACTTATCCGCTCCCGGCAAAGATGCTGGGTTGCCTAAGATGTTACCAGTTGAATGTAACAATTCGCAGTTGAGACTCTGAGGAAAAGCATTATTGGGCTCGAAGGGTTTCAAGCAACTTGATTGATCAGAAATTTCTACCACATTATCACTTTTGAGCTTCTTAGCATCCTTTACATTTGAAGAGCTCAATCTATAAACAGAAGAACTAGAAGCATGGAATCCAGGTGCCACATTGCCAACATATGAAGAATTTCTTACAAGAGTATTACCCTTGCGGATGTAAGAATTACGGATGCCTGTAACCTCATTCTGTCTTTGGTTCTGTGGGCGAATAGAGGTCACTTGAGGAGCAAAGCATGGAGCGGATGAGGAATTACTAGTTCGATGCCAAGTCCGTGACGTTGCAGCATGTTTGGATATTTCAGGTTTCTTTGACGTCATAAAGCTTACAGCTGAACTACTACAGGAACCCCTGACGACCACAGAGCTCATCTTGCTCTTTTTAAAATTTGATTTACTTGGCACATATTTCAAAGTTTGCAGTGGTTCACAAGCATCTGGCACGGAAGATGGCCTTCTAGATATTATTGGTAGGTTGCCACTGACTGGGCACAAAGGTGGTCTTTGACAGATAAAGGTATTCGTTGATAGGTTTTCATTAACTGCATCACTATCAGCTTTAGATTTATCTGCAGAGATTTTGACAGATAAAGGTATTGTATCACCCGTGGAAACCGAAGCTTCACTCGGATTTTGGTTTACTTGAGAGACAACTCCATTTGATATTTGACAAGATATTTCCACACTGATGTTTGAGGCAGGTAAACCATCATGGCATTCACTATCTCCTTTAGTTGGTACCATATCATCCAATGATGTAAGCCCACATATCCTACTCGCCCTATCCAGTGTACCATTTTGATCACTGCTCCTTGAAACAGCTGCAGTAGCTTCTGTTTCACTAGCTAGCTTATGGGATGGGATAGAAGGAACATGCTCTAGGTCTGACAAAACCTCTGAAGGGCCAACCTGGGTAGACTCAGACTGAAATGATCCTCTGGTAGTACTCTTCTCATTTGAATTGTCCATTGGCCTTGCACAAGGTGGCAGAGCAGCACAACAATTTTCTACTGCTTGAGACAATGTGTGTGTTATAGCATTGCCATCATTGGAAAGCCCTTGTGCTGACATATTAGCTTCATCGATCACTTCAAGAGACTCATAAAGAATAGAGTGACCCAATGTAGGGGAGGAGATCTTCCTTTTCTTCAAATTCCGAGGAGATTTTACAATTGAACTAGTTTCAAGATCCCCTCGAACTGAAAGATCATTCTCTGGACACTCTTGAAGTGACTGGCCTCCATCTAAAGAGCAATCTCCATTTCCAGGAGCCTTAACATTGCTTTCATTAAAGGCATGATTCATACCCAAACTCAAAGACCTACAAGGGTCCTCACTTGTCCTCAGACAGGAGGATTTCGACAGCATCTCACTTACTTTCCTCTTTATTTTCATCTCAGGTGAATATTCCTTGCCCAGACAAGGGTCGTGATGATCCTCAACACAAAGCAATGGAACAAGATAGGCATCATGATGGGGACCGCTTACTCTATCAATAATATTAGGGAAACAACTTCCAGGAAGAGCTTTATCGTCCGTACAAGGACAATCATTATCAGAAATCACCCTGCTACTGGAGCTCGGATTGGAGCTACTCGCACTTGAGAACCCTTCCTCCTTATTTGGTGAACCCACATTACTAACATCTCTGACCAACAAATCACTGTCCGGAGGCCTGTTGGATATTGCATCTGTGTGAGGAACAGTCAAAGTATTATCAAAGAGTTGCTCAGAACCTGCATACAAAGATCCCCCCTCAGCAACAATGTTTTCAGTCCTTTCAGCACATGCATCTTCAGTTGAAGAGCGTATGCAACTGCCATCCTTGTGAATAATAGGTTCATCAGAGCATGAGGAGTGTGCATGAACAATATTTCCCATTGAAAGCATATGCCCATTCGAATCTAGAACAAGATTTGTTTTAAGCATTGAAGCATGATTCTGAAAATGCTGCCCTTTAGTTTCATTGTCAATAATTGAACTAGTGAGTCTCTTCTGTGGTTCAATTATGCATGTCTCAGAATCAAGCAGATGACAGCTTTCAAGCAATTTGCTCTCAGGAAAAGTATGCTCTTTAATTTCAGGGTCCACCGGGCTCTCAGAAACAGAGATCACAGACAAACAGTTCCTTTTTCTCTTTGACTTAAATAGGCTACAAGAGTCATTTTTAGAAGCATCTGAACCAGAGACAACATGTTCTAGAGGTTCATAGATCTTGTCAATGGCTAGTTCTTCAGTCAAATGATGTGCTGAAAAAGACTCTCGCACTTCTTTCATACCATCAGACACAATTCTCTCATCTGCACATAAGGAATCCCCATTCAATTCAGAGACTGACAACTTATCTACAGATATGTCCGCACCAATAACCAGATTAGGACTATCCCTTTTATCCAGAAAACTATTTTTCTTCTTGACAGAGGCCATAACTTTCTTCTTGTATCGATTTTTTCGTAAAGGTGTTTTATCATTTTGAACACCATATGTGACCTGATCATGTACCTGTTCCTTAGAAGGAGTACATGTATTGCTGGCAGTTTCCTTCTCACTGCCAGAAGGCCCAGAACTTAATGGACAATCTAACCCATTTGCTGAATTTTCAAACTTTCCCAAATTTTCACTCAGCTTTGACTGTGCAGTGTCAGGCATCTTGAGTCTCCTAATCTTCCGAGCTCTAGGAGTACCATTTTTTCCTGTATCAACTACTGGGCTTGAGGGAGCCACAATAGCCTTCGCCACAAGTGCATTAGATTTAAATGAAACATCAAGTTCCACTGGACTGTTCTCCCTCTCCTCCTCTCTTTTCCCAGACCGTGCAATGCCTTCTCTCAAATTTCCCCTTGAGCCAGCTACACTTGAATTATCAGCATACCCATTAGAGAAATGGCAGTCTTGATTTCTAGTCCTATGGTTAACCTTTCCTAATGGAGTTGTATGGGGTGCACTCCTTTTCTGTGCGTTCTTCTTCCTAGGTGACCTATGCAACTCTTCTATACCATCTCTTACCCTATTGCTAAGCCTTTTGTGGTCAAAAGCATAACCATTATCTGAGGATAACCTTCTTCTGGACGAGGAGTCCATAACATCAGTAACATCTTCATAGCCCCACCTGAGGTCTTCTCTGTCGTCCCTAATATCAAGTCTATGTTGGATTGGTCTCTCCGTATTGAATCTGAACACATCAACATTATCAAGCTCTGTATCTTGACGGTCCCAAATCCTTTCTTGGTCGCCTCTGAACCCATTCTTCGGAATAAAAAACTCATCCCTCACGAACCCATAATCATCATTCTGAGCATTGAGGGGCAGCAAAAAAGGGGGTTGGTGGTGACGAGGGGGTTGATGAAGTGGCAGCCTAGGGCCAACATCGGCCCAAGGATCTGGGGTTCGCATGGGGTGTGGTGTCGGTGAGGAATCGCGATTCAGAATATAATCCAAGAATTGGGGGTTTTCAGGATGGGGAATAGAATGGAATGGAAGGGTGTAGGGAGGGAGGGGGTGATGGTAATGGTGAGATGGAGGCAGCGGCGGGTGGAGGTTGGGGTGAGGCGGCGGGGGGTGGTGAAAGCAATTAGGGGAATCGGGAAAGCTGGGAGGGCGGTGAACGTACCTTTGGTGGTGGTTGTGGAAAGGCTCCATTCCGTAAGTCAACTTTATCGGCAGATCTGAAGAGTTGTGTGGAGAAGACGATGAAACAAACAAACGCAGGCGGTATTAAACGACGAACTCTGGCGCGCCGGTGGAATCCTCTTTCATACGGAGAATATGGGGCTATCTGTTCGGGAAGAATACAAAACGGCTGAATGTTAAAAATTGCAGCTATCTATCGTGGTTTTGACTGCGTCATTATTATTGCCCTAATATTGAATTGCGGTTACTGGCAACGTTCACATTGATTTTCTATGATTCTGTTTCTTTTTTGTTTCCAAAAAATAGCGTTCACTTTTCGACAAAGTTTTTTTACAACTAAAACGAAGTTTTTGTGTCTTCCCATTTTTAGTAATCTATTACTAGTACTCCCTCCGTCCCATATTTATTTTCGGTTTTGACCGGGCACGTATATTAAGAAAGTGGGAAATGTGTGGTGGAGAGTTGTGCAGAGGAGAGAGAAATGTGTAAGAATGGTTGTGAACCACAAATTCTTTGCCAAAAAGGGAAAGAGGAGATAAATTTGGGACGGACCGAAAAGGAAAGAATGAAGATAATTTCGGGACGGAGGGAGTATATATTATCTAAAGAGACAGTTTTTGGGTGAATAGTCTTCCCTCCCATTTATGTCAACATCATGCTTTTTATCTTTATAACATCAACACAATTGCTAAATCAATTTTTGTTAAAAATTTCCAAAGCCGAGAGTATACAACTGCAGTCGGTTGGTGGTATCTCATTGGTTGAACTTGGTGGCCAGCTTTTTATACCTGTGAATAGTTGCTGTTTGAGGGATGGTGGAATAGTAATTTGATTTAATATTTATGGGCCCCACAACCAGAATTGTTGAGAATTAATTAGGGCAAAATACTCTTATTGGTTGAACTTGGTTGGCAGATTTTGTTCGTACATTACAATATCAAATCTTTTATTTTCCTTGATTTTTATTGGTTGAATTGGGTGGTGGAATAGTTCCTTCATTAAATGTTTGTGGGCTCAACAAGGCATAGAAATAGAAGGGGGTCCAAGCACAATCCTTATCCACAACATCACAAAAAAAAACTCTTTGTGCTTAGTGTGATTCTTTGGCAAAAATGGTAGGAATGTGGTCTATGATTAGGCAAATCGATCAAACAAAAACAACATGGGCCATAAAGGCCCGAGCTACAAGGGTTTACCGAGAACCTGCGCATGATGGTTTTCCCCCTTCTATGGAAGTCATATTCCATGATGAAGAGGTGTTGTGAATACCTTTCATTTTATAGAAGATCTTATCCCGCTATTTTAATCATTATTTTTTTTGCAGGGTTCTAAGATTCACGGTCACATCCCAGATCAATTTATCGCAAATTTTTTTGGATTGTTTAGGGAGGGCCGTGTTTATGCTATAAAAAATTTTATGGTGGAAGAAAATTTCATGTTTTTTAAAACCACTACAAGCGCTTATAGGCTGCGCTTCTTCAAAAAGAGTGAGGCGTTTGAAATCAAGGTTCCGTTTCCCTTGAGGACATTTTCGTTGGTGTCCTTTGCTGCGTTGCAGGCGCAGGACTCTATCGACGACCGGGCAGCGATTGGTCGGTTTGTTTTTAAATACATTATTGTGTGTTCCTAATAGATGTCGTGTTATGTTCGCAGTCAATTGTGTTATGTGTCATATTGCAGATATCATTGGACAAGTCGTCCATGATAAGGATCCCAAGACAATTCGTAAAAATGATCGCCCTAAAAAATTGGTTGAGCTAATTCTTGGAGATACAGAGTTAGTAACTTTGAAAATAATATTTTTTCACACTTTCACCACTAAAATTTCTCTAATACTTCTACTGCTGCTTAAAAAGGGGCAATGTCATAGCATGCACTCTTTGGGGTCCTATGGTTGATATGTTGTTGTCGTTCAAACTAACTACGGGCGAACCCATTGTCATGTTGCTTCAATGCTGCCGGGCTAAAAAATACCAAGGTATTTGTTTCCTTCATATTTACATGCTGTTTTGCAAGTGAATATAGTTGCTAATGTTTTTCATTTAAATAAAAATCAGGGCAAGTGCATGTATCCAACATGTTTAATACAACCAAGGTTATTCTTAACGGTGTGGAAGATGAGTTCAATGATTTTAAATCAAAAATGGCTTCCAGATGTGGGGAGGGTTTGAGCTTTACCATTGCATCTGATACGTCAAATGATGTTGACATTAGCACTGGTCAGATTCAGTTGGTAACTATTGAGCAACTCACTAAAATGGAAGAGGTTAGATCCTCCGGCCTAAAGCTTTAGCATTTTCTAGGGTTTTGATACAGGCCTTAACTAACTTCTTATATGGTTTAATAAGGATGGAAAGCACTGGATATATGGAGAGATTGCTGGCATTGATAACCACAAAGATTGGTCTTATGTTTCGTGCATTGGTTGTAATCGTAAAGTGACTCCAAATGGTGACGGTTTTCAATGCCTCTCTTGCAATTCCTCCGACGCTGTTTTGAGGTGTTGTGTTATAAAGAATTCTTTTCATTGCTTAATCATTTCGAATCTAACTAATACTATTGGTGTAGGTACAAGGTCAACATTAGAGTGGTTGATACAACTTCGCACGCGTCCTTTCTGCTCTGGGACAGAGAGGTGTCGTGCTTGATTGGGCGATTTGCTGCGTCGCTGAAAGAACAAGTAAATAAGGTCCTATTTTTATTTTATTCACACTTTTTGGAATAGTTTTTATTACCTCTCTGGACACAGTAATAAACTTCTAATTTTTGGTGTAGAGGAATTTTGGACCCCATTATTTCCCTTCCGAAATCAACGCCTTGATGGACATCAAGGCCCTATTCCGCGTACAGTATAAACGTGACAGCAGAAATTTTAAGGGTAATCAGACCTACAGCGTTCTCAGAATGAATACCGACCCTAGAGTTATCTCACTCTATGTGACCGAGACCACATCAACAGAGGTTCCATGTCTAAACTTCACTCTAGCGTATTCAGTATTTGTGTCCTTTATCCTAAATGAATTCTGTGTACTAAAGTGTTTATTTGCTTAACCAACAGGAGGATGAATTTTCCTTGTTGAAGAGGGAGTTTTCTGGTGGAGAAAGGGTAAACGCACTGTTCTTTTTTATATGTTGGCATCAATTTTAAGGCGCTGTAAAGTGATAACCTACGTCAACACAGGTTGTGTCTTCGGAGCATGTGAATTCGAACAGTCCCTTGCTGGACAAGGAGCAGAGAAGTGCCCTAGAAGTTGATACCGAGAGGATCAAGAGGAATCTGTTTGGGGAATCATCGTCTACCGAGGCAGCTAAAAATGTGCCACCCAAAAAGATGAAGGGTATCAAGATCGAGGGGTCTAAAAACTAATGCTATCCTATGGACCTATAATTAGTTTGGGTTTGCATTGGATATTAATAAGTGTTTTGGGGAAGGGCCTTAAATAAAACGTGCGGGATGGAGAATGATATCAGGAATAGATATGCTGCAATACATGTGGTCAGCGTCTCCAATGTTTCCCTTTTTTGTATTTTGTTGGCTATTAACGCACTACTACCTAAAGTGTTATATTTATAATGCATATCTAAGGTGAAATATGTGTGTTCCATATTAATGCATGGACCTTATGTATTGTAAAATATAAATGTATGAAGTCTATGTTGGGGCTATGTATTCTACTCCAATATTAATGTATTGATGCTATCCAATGTAAAATATTTATGGGTTATCCTGGGTGCTCATGTCTTACAGTTTGGTGCACTGCTTTCCTATACATCATACTTAAACCCATGACACCTCTGGGACAGACAAAATACACAGTGAAAGTGTCCTAACTACACATTGATTGGCAACTTTTTTTGTCCAAAACGTTATGATGTTTCATAAAGGCCTTGGATATTAGTCAGAACAATTAACCAGGCCAAGTATATCATATGTGTGGCAAGAACGATACTAAAAAGACCCCATGGCAAAGGTTATCAAACCTATGCAAGGGCGACATGCAAATCATCGGTGAACAAATGTTTCTGTACAAAACTGATTGTAATATATGTTAAAGAAGGGTAATATTGGTTCAGAATTCAGCACTTAACTGTTTGATTAAAAAACATGGGGTATATGGGAGCATTTGTAGCAATCTAGAGTTGATGAAAAAATATTTCTATATAAAAGTGATTGTTATGTATATAAACATAGGTAACAATTTTCAAAATTTTGATTGGGGAAAGCCCTAATGATCTGCGCAAGAGTAGCCAAATTGTAATTGGTTTTTTTTTTGGTAAGGGCGGCCTGGATACTCTTTAAAGATTAAACTGTTTTAGATTTTCAGACATTTTTTTAAAACATACAGGGGGTATAAAATAGTATGTGCAGCAATCTAAACCACTTGACCGATTTTGCGTGTAAATTTTTTACAGGGCACTTAATTCAAGGCATTTGTCATAACAAACAACAAAGGGTTATAGATTAAAGGGAGAGTTGGGCAAAGATGAACGTACCTGGTGTCGGTCGGGAGGGCATCACGAGTGTAGCCTGTTTTAATTATTACAGCATATTACAACATATCTTATAAAATTTAAAGTACAACAAAGAGAACGGAAAAAAAAATGTCGGCTGCCATGTAGTATCATTGCCAAGGGTCAACCTGCAAATCGCAACAAGTGCAATAGTGTTAGGATGCTAAATTTGAGTTCAAAGTGTTGTACATACTGGAAAATCCTAAATTTCCAATTTGCTATTAATTTTTATGCAAGGGGTGTAATAAACTTTTTAACTCACAGTTCACCCCGTTTATGGTTCATTTAGTGATTGTTGAATAAAAATTCTACGGTTTATTTTGATAGGCTGTTATCTACCTAATTCTTTACCAACACCAGCCCACCCCCCTGAATTGCTGCCATGTCAAGGGCAGTTCGTTCTACTATGCAGATCTTCTAACAAATTGTTTTCAATTACACAATACAATAGGATGAACAATAGCAATGCTTTCACAATACGTCAGATTTAGACAGCTTACTTATATTGTCGAAAAAAATGTCAATACCTAACTGCGCTAAAACAGATCTCCAAGATATGTGACTGTTCGCACCCTCTAATATCAACCCTGTGAAGCGCGGTTAGAAACTGTCTCTTTCCAATTGTGGTGGTCCATGTTTAATTGTGTAGTTGCCAAAGGTCAACCTGCGAATCGAAGCAAGTGAAATGACGTTAGGATGCTAAATTTGACTTCAAACTGCTTTGGTATTGTTCTGCATGTTTTGGTTTGAAAAAATTGCTAAAATTTTCCATTTACTGTGATTTTTGATGCAATAGGTGCGATAAATTTTTTGAAGCACACTGTATCCTGATTAAGGTTTTATTTTACCAACACCAGCCCGCCCCCTGAATTGCTGCCATGTCCAGCCCGCCCCCTGAATTGCTGCCATGTCCAGGGCAGTTCGTTGTACTATGCAGCTCCTTCTAGCATATGCTTTTCAATGGCACAATGCACTTACCAAAACAATAGCACTGCTTTGGGAAAACCAGAAATTTTAGACAGAGTACATATATTGGAGGCTGTAGAGTTAATACCTAATTGGTCCAAAATGGTTAGAGGAATTTAATTGTACGCATGATTTTAATACCAACCTTGGGGGTCTGATTTAAACCATTTCATTGGGGTAAATTGCAAGTAAGGAATAAACAGCATACTTAAGAATTTGTGTTATGTCACTTAACAAAACTTAAAAAGTGAATTTTAAATGCACAGTATTTGTAATATGCGTAAGTAATAATAAATCTAGCATATGCGTTGGTATTGTGTCGATTGAGAAAAAATTAAAAATGCATTTAAAGTAAGAGAACTTGACAATATACTTTGACAACATACTGATACATTCTTAATTTTCAACAAGGGTTAATGATGAGAGGGCACACACCAAAAAAGGGATGTTCATTAAGGAAGACAACAGTAATTAGACATTTTGCTGCAGTCACTTTTAAAAAGTTCATGGTGAAGCGTTATTGTGTAATGGGTATTACCCTGTAGAAAATTAGAATTTTTTTAAATACCACACCAAAGTTAAGCCCTGATTGGCTGCAAAAAAAAATTTTAATTTCATGATGGGCAGATTTAACGAATAGTATTTCAAAGAGTAGTATTCTTAGTGTGGTGATAAGTTACCAAATTTTATTTCTTTGGGAAAAAAGTTTTGGTGGTTTGTCAATTTTTTTTATCTTTTCTTCAAAATTTAAACATTAATTTCATTTGTGATTATTTTTTTATTTTTATAAAATTCTTATTGATAAGAATTTGTTGGCAATGTGTTCCTAATTCATTCCAAGATGCACCAGCCCAAAAAATTAGGCTTTTGTAAAATTTCGAACCCAATTGCTCCGCCAAATTTCCCAGACATTTGCAACTAGGTTATTTTATAAAAACAGTGCAGGGGATGGGCATGCCATATGGATCTACCTCTGTCAGTTATCTTTGTGGTAGATAATTGGCCACATTTACCTTTTAGGGATTAATGATGACATAGCTGGGTTAAAAAACAATCCTATTGGTTGCTTTTACAAAGGAAACAGTGTTTTGGTGTGATATATGTAAGCTGACTGGAGGTAATGATTACCTTTTACTGTTTTTTCACCAAAAATTTGGTTTTTCAGATTCTCTATAGATTTCATTTCATACGATCTTCTAATCCCTGAAATGTGATAGCTTGAATGTTACTTATATGATATATATATATATATATATATATATATATATATATATATATATATATATATATATATATATATATATATATGTATGTATCTCGGTGGAAGAAAAGATCAATCTAAAACACAACAGCTTCTCTTTCTTGGGGTATAGCTTGCTGTAGCTTCCATCAACATTTTATGAACTAAACCTGAATTCTTTAGGTGAGTTACAAAAGTCAATGGTTCTTCAATTGCTACCCTCTTTAATAATAGTGTGTAGGTTTCATCTATTTGAAGCCTAATTCAATCTTTCGGTTTTTCAGTTTAGCTACAGAATTCTCAGTAGTCTCATTAGGTTGTGGGTTGAAGTTTTTTGGGCTGATCTTTATGTTTGTTTTGTTGGTCTTCCCTATACATGACCAGAGATGTCTCAATGGGGTTTAATTTAAACCTTTACAGTCTACTCATATGTAAAATACCCCTTCTGATTGACAAGGGTGAGACTCATTTAAAATGTCTCTAAAAATGGTCAAAGGTGAGAATCATTTCATCATACAAAATAAATTTGAGAATGGAGGTACAAGCAGTAAATTATTTGGGCTGAATCTGGCCAACTTTTCATATGGGGTTATTTTTAAGACAAAAAAATGTTAAGTTTGTTGATAATGTCAGCAGAAGTTCTACACTTATGTTTTAGATCAGGTTCTGTTTGTAAACATTGAGGTTTCTAAAGTTCCCTACATCACATTTTCTTTTCATATTTGCATAGAAGAAACAGGGAATGGCAACTCATGCAGGCTTTGTTGGATTCGGTGAAGGTGTGTCTGCCGGTTGTTTAATAAGACAATGTCAACGCTGTTTTTGCATGCTCCCCGAAACCGATATGCGTACGGTCAGGATTGTTCATCTTGGGTTTTGTTTTTGGTGTTATCAAAAATTTGAGTTGGATTTTCTCATTGATGGTGTCCCCGCCCCGGCACCTTGGCTATCTTCGCTGGCACCAATGTCCCCTACGTACGAGGATTCTGAGCTGTATAGGTCTTTTGAATCTGTTGTTTATTTTGGTGGGGGTGGTGATGGCAGTTGTCTTATAAGACAGTGTCAAAAATGTTTTTACATGTTCCCTGAAACTGATATTCATACTGTTAATGTTGGCGGTTGTGTTCATCTTGGGTTTTGTTTGGTGTGTTATCAAAAAAATGTGATAGATTAGGTCACTGAGGGAGGTCCCCCGACATCCACACTACCGTCGTTGGCACCTATGTCCCCTCTGTATGAAGATCCAGCACTTGGGTGGTCCTTTGAATCTGTTGGTGATGCCTCGGGAGACGACCCAGGGACCCCCACCGATGATCTGCCTTACCAGGTTGCCCCAAGGCGTTCCGCGCGCGCGGTCTGTTTGAACCGGCGTTACTTCAACGCGGATTTTGTTGTCGGGTTGGATTTCAGTTGGCTAGCTAAATGATGTTAACCAAATGTAAACTTTTCTTTGGGGGAATTTTGTTTTGCTATGTTCAGAGATGGATGGTTCTAAATGTGGCTAATGTACTACTATTATGTGTTTGGCCCCCAGCTGGTCAATAGAACTAATGCTTTGGATGTTATGTTGATGGCTTTTATCATATCAGAATATATATGTTACGGTTACATGTTTGTGTGGTTCATCCTTTTGTTATGAATAAGATTTCTTTAAACTGTTTATGTATATGCAGCTTTGTAATTTGACTTAAATTTCTTTCTTAACCTAGATTTTAGGTTGGCAAATTGTGTGTGCAGCGAGAGGTTACTAGTTTATTTCTGCGGTCGTTGTGAATGCCTAGGCTAACCAAGTCAGTGATAATCGGTCGAAAGCGACCGCATTCAGGTATCTATAAGTTTTGTGCAAGATTCAAATGTAATTCTATCACATTTATATGTTTGTTCTTCGGTATTTACTCTTACTGTGTTAAAGTGTTTTCTAACTGTCTGACAGTAACATAATTTACTAGGTTCAGTAATGTTTGTTCAAACAAATATTGATTT